TTGAAGACGTTTCCCTTCCCATCCAGGAAGTTTTTTCAATTAAAAATCTAACAATTAGCATTGAGTCCAAAGCTTTATATAGTAGCCCAAAAAATCGCTTAGAAAAAATGCAAATTGAACCAGAAGAACGGGTCCACCCCTTAGAAATGGGGAGTCGTTTTGGGTTCTTTGTTAGCCTGTAATGCCTGATTTAATCTCAACATGGGGAATACGATCCTAACAGAAACTCATGCTAGTGAAATAAATGTGCAAATAAATCCAAAATGAATAAAGAAAATAATACAAAATTTGGTTATAATTTCAGATGTAGAGACATTTGGGTGTGGAAGTGTGAAATATCTGATGTGATGCAAATTGCAAGATTAAAAATGAGCATCAACAACAAGTTAAATCTACGTAAAATGTTGTTAAGAAGGGTTAAAAATTAAAAGTGCATGTTTATTAAGGCAGAAAAGAGATTAAAAAAAATGTTCTTTATACTGTTTAGAAACGATATCATGCCCAATTGGTGCCTTTTCTTTTCTAAGTATCAATATTAAGAAAAACAACCTGATAATATCTGTAAAGCTTACAGACAATAACAGACTCCAAAATAAGACCACACTGGATGCTACATCTGTCAGCTAGAATCAAGGAGATAAAGCTAGAGTTTGCATTTTTCAAGAATAGAAATGTTGGATGTCAGCTATGATCTGAAGACAGTAGAGGTAGAATTAGCAGTAAGTAACATACAAACGTGCGGTTAATGCTGTGGGGACTGTACTTGGTTCTTCACTTTGTATCTAAAATTTCTTACCTGGTTAAAGTTCATCTAAAGCTTAAGTTTCTTTGGTCTAATGAAACAAATATTTTTTAAGAATGTTTTACTGTTTCTTTTTTGTAGAGCAGCTGACTTAGCACAGAAAAAAATGACCCAAAATGCCAGAGTAACTGCTGTCAACACAACTTTAATTAGTTTTACATTGAAGCTTTGAATTCATTTAGTCCGTTTCACATTTTTTCCCTTCCACTGGAGTTTCCACGTCTTCAGGTGTCATTTTAAAACTTATTTCTATTGAACAGCGTTAAAAAAGCAATCCCTGTGACCTCTAATGAGTTCATTTAGTGCTGTGACTCTGTGTTGGAGCTTTAGAATAGTGTTGATTCTCAGAGGTTCATCACAGTTTGGGTCCAAACCTCTCAGAGGCCACAAAGCTAGCCTCTTTGTTTTCCTTCAGGTTCTGGTTTCTTTTGGTTTCCTGCTGGACCATCAGTGGGAAACATCTTTTCTGTGTTTACCTAAGAGGTTCACCATGGTAAAAGCTAAGATGGAAATAATGTACAGAAAAAGAATATTACCTGAGCAGTACCTGTAGGTGATAATCTCAATTAACAGCAAAGACCTTGAAATATTTGCCTTCCTTCCATATACAGCATAAATAGTGATTTTATTTATATTTTCTATAGATTCAAATGGATCCAAAAATGGGATCAAGCTTTATATTTTTTTTTGTATCAAAAACCCAAAAATGAAAGACGTGGTTTAGTAAAACGCACCTGAAAGACTAGACCTTCCTTTGGTTTAACAGCCTTCTTTGAAGGAGTTACAGCCTGGAAATCAGACTTTTTCATGTTAAATCGTGTGTTGAGCTTCAAATAAAAGCTGCTGGAAAATGTCGGCCCGCAAGGGACCAAATTTATGGTTTGTGGAAAGAACCATTTCGGTTCTCCGTGAATTACATCATTTGTATACTGATGCTAACATTAGCCCGCCTTGCTATCATAGCGTCCATCTCTATCTCTAAATGATCAGGGAATCCCTTGCAGGCGGCCAGTAAGCGTTGCTGTTTCTGTAACTGTTATCAATGGTGTATAGCAGAGGTCTTCAACAGGGGTCTGCGACCCCTAGGGGGTCCACAGAGGTACTGCATGGGGGTCGCGGAAGTTTTGGTTGATTAGCCTTTTTTTATATTCTCCCTGCAAATTTTCACTAATTGAAATGTCTTTAAAAACACATTAACATGAATTTAACACTTCATAGTCAACAGATAAATTGAGGCAGATGTCTTTCATTCATCAATGCACACATTCAGTGACACAGAGGAGCTTTTTCAAGCTGGACACCGTTTCATTCACAACACCTGTCCCATCAACCAGGAATCAGAATTAGTTTTATTTTCCTAGTCCCAGGTTTCTCTTTTTCTGTTTCTGTTTCTGTATTTGTGTTAGTGTGGGTCTATTTCATTTTCTTTATATTATTTGGGGTTTCCGGTTGGCCTTCGTTTTGGGGTCCTTTGTCTGGAAAACGTTGAAGACCCCTGGTTTATAGGGTTACCAACTCCCTGAAAACAAAAAAGGGACACCTCATGTGCATGCCAGGCAGGTGTCCACCACTGGCGGCATGCTGTCTCAAATCTGACAGTCCGCCATGGGCTACAGAAAAAAGAAAGTGTGCTTTATAGTCATTATTGTGGACTTTTTCCACCCAGGTATTTGTTTTTCCCCATTCCTCCCTATGTTTCTGCAGCCTTTTTTTTTTTTCCGAGGAGGAGCATCACTATGCGAAGGTTCACCGCCTCCAAAAGTAGCGTCAGCATTTAAATTACTCCGTTTATCCCCCATATTGCTCTGTGGTCTCCCGCTGTCTTTTCCTCAAGCAACACTTTGCTCGACCAATGGGATGAGGATATTCTGGATCGTAACATATATGTTGTCAGCTCATTGGTAACAATGCAGGTCAGGGCCCGGGAACAAGTTTACCGTAAGTTTTGTATCTAACGTGCCCTTCATTTTCCATTAGCATTTTACTGACTATTTTTTTAGTCACACAGTAATACGGGACAAAGTGCATTCCTTTTCCACTAAATACGGGACAGGTACTTCTATTTTTAAATACAGAACGATTAAATTTTTCAATGGACGGTTGGCAAACCTAATGGTGTAAGAGATGATAAAACGATGCTAAACAAATGTGACTGCCAATAGCTGCTAATGTTGCTGGTGCTACATCCACTTGGATGAGCAAAAGCTCAATTTGGAAGTTCTTTTCTAGAACTGATGGTACATGATTTAATCATTAATTTAACGATAATTCCAGAAGAATTTTATAGTTAAAGTACCAGTTTAAGATTGTATCTTATATCTAGTTGTGAGATATCCTCCTTTATTTAAACCCTAAACAAAACCCAAAGAACAGTTGATCCAGAATCTCCATCTTTGTTTATCATCTGCTACCAAGAAAAAAAATACTTTAAACTTCACAAGTATGAGCTACATCTTCCCACCGACAAATCCACTGATAACCTGGTCATACATTTAACTGGTTCAGTTTCTTCCAGTAAGGTCCATCCTATTTGGTAATCTGCCAGGTTTCAGTCTTCTCCACACAATAGATTGGAGGTGAAACCAGTTCCTAAAAGCATTGGGCTTTAGTCGATCACGTGATCCTGCTGGAATGCAAAGGTTTTTCATTAAACTTGAGCTCCTGCTGAAGTCTTGGTGGGAAGTGTCAGCGTGGGACTTTTGTGAATCTGCAAGATAAAGTGAGAAAGACGTGGCTGTCTTTCCTGCCTCAGCAACTTCAACAGTGACTGCTAGTCAGAAGGCCAAGTCCAGCTCCAAGGTTTAATGTTCTTTTTTTCTTTTCTTCTCCGGTCTGGCAGGCAAACCGAACAGACCCTAAACACAACATTTGTTCCTCATTCAGAGTCACCCATCCATCTTACCCACTCCCCTGTTTGACATGCCCTTCACCCTGGGAATGTTTTGGCATTTTCAATTATCAGGCCTAAAATCAGAGTCCTTGGAAACCATTTTGGTTGTATTCCATCTTAAAAATCCTACATTTATTTCTCTCAAGGTCATTAGCTTCACTATATATCAGCAACATGGTGATGTAGCATCACTGGAAAAATCTAAGTGTTGAAAACAGTATGGATCATGAGTTAAAAGAATAAAAAAAAGTATCATAAAATCAAATTTAACAGGAAAAGACCAGTCAAAATACAACACTTTTGATTTTTAATGTTCAGAACTTTCATTGCAGGTAAAATGATTAAATGTAACATAATAATATTGATATTTATCACTGTTATCACTTTTAGTGTTAAATAAAAATATTCACGGAGTAGTTTTTTAATGTGTAGTTTAGGGCAGAATAATGTGCCTTCCTGCCCTTGTAACAACCGAAGTAGTGTTGCGGCGATGCCATTTTTTTGGCCCCGATACCGATACCCGATACCTGGCTGCGCAGTATTGGCCGATACCATACTGATACCATCTGTTAGAAATGTATGCGTGTGTGTATATATGAAGAACTGCATACTACTTGGATGTAAAATAATCACCATCATGGCTTCATGTCAAGCTGCTGCCTTCCTTTGTGAAGTAGGAAAAAGTCTAATACAAACTGAATCCAGAAGAACTTTTTATTGCCTACCTGGAATGGGTGACAGTAGTTGATTAAACTTTTGGCTCTCATAATGGTATCAATGCCCTATTTGTTGGTACTCACCAATACCGATACCACCATTGTAGTGCTTGATCGGGGCCCCACCCGATACTGGTATCGGTGAAACACTAACTGGAAGAATTGATAAATATATTATTTATTTTAGTGGCTATCTGCTAAGGACGCATTTTATATATGCCCCTTAGTTTTTCTTGCAAAATCTTCAAACTGTGGTGTAAAAATAGATTGTAGGCTTCTTTAGATGATTCAAGACTCGGGGCATCATAGAAAGGTTTCTCCAAATAGCAAACTGAAGATCTTTGTCTTTTATTGTTAGTTTACGTAAAAGCAAAACTAGAAAAGAAGGAACATAAAAGCTATAAAGGTTTTATGCTTCTAACGCAAGAGGCATGTTTCAGTGTTTTATATGTGAGCTGAGAAAGGAATACCTTTCAATCTATTGATTTCAGTTTCTGTGACTCTTATTCTGCTCTTCTTTACAGAACTGATACATCTAAATGTTGGTGTGGGTTTTTCACAGACTTTAAAAATAGCCTGTTTTATGTTGCAGGGGGCAGAGGCCATGGTCCTGGAGAGTGTGATGTTTGCCATCCTGGCTGAGAGGGAGCTGGGGCCTAAACTCTATGGCATTTTTCCTCAAGGTCGCCTGGAGCAGTACGTTCCTGTAAGTCATGTTTTTGTTTATGTGTACAGTCCATATTGCTGTTGTTATCGGGGATAAAGCAGGAATGAAAAATTAACATCCCAGGGGTCTTCATACATTACTCCAGTTGGATTCTACCCTTTCAGATAAAACAAATAATGATTAAAAATTGCTCAGTGTTAGGAGTTATTTATTATGGTAATTTATGTTGATTTTAACCTTAGCAAATGTCGCAAGTTTAGTTAATGAAAAGAATAATGTGCTTCAGGCTGATTTTTGTCGGCAACTGCAGGAAAAACACACAATACATTGCTATTAGCAAAAAGGACACAGTAAGCTGATTTAATTAGCATTAAAATAATCCAGTGTCAGGTTGTGTTTAGGTTTGTAGAGGACCCAAATGCAGAGAGGGAAGCTGAGCTGGCTTCTTGCAGATTTAATAGTGAATGGTGGCAACAGAGACCTAAATAAAAAGATAACTTATCACGCAACACAGGATCCAGACCAAACAGGAGTACATAGATTAAGGAGGAAATGAAGAAAATCCAGCAAACAGTAACTGCAGAGGAGGAGTATAATTGCCAAACAGAACATAGAATGGAGTAATCAACTGATTGGGAGCAGGTGCGGAAGGAAGGATCTAGAAGGGAGCTAAGGGAATGGATAGAGGCACTAGGGGGCAACAGAGAGTAAACAAGAAATACATAAGTGCTTAAATACAACCAGAAAACAACTAGAACGACACAAAAGGGAAATTAAACCAATGACCTAGAAAACAGAGTGACATAAATGAAATTGTAACTGAAAACTCAAAAAGAAAAGAAACAGAACCAAAAATTTCCGAAAGGGCAGAATCATGACTCCCTCTAGTGCACCTGCTGAAATGTTTCAAAGGAAGTTGTTCTTTGTTGCCTCGCATTAGCCCTTATGCTAAGAACAAACAGACCCTTGTTTGTAACAACTTGCTGCAAATTTTAAATAATCACCTAAATAGCCCCCATCTGGCCGTGCTGCATGGCGGAGCAGCGTCAACTTCTCTGCTGTGCTTTACAGGCAAGGCAGTGACTATTGAAAAGTGGAAGACATTACGCTAAACGTTTGTAACATGATAGAAAAAGACATGCTAGCAATTAGCTCGGTTGATGGGGAAGCGACGTGCCCTATTTTTAGTGATAGTTTTACATCTTTGCACATTAGAAATAATAAGGCAAGGTAAGTTTATTTTTAAGACACAGTCCAAAGACAATTCAAAGTGCTTTACATTAATTAAATAATAAATAATACAAAAATTAGGAAAATAAAAGCAGAGTAAAAACAATCAAAGATAAAAACATGACTAAAGCAAATTAAACCAATGGATCACAAAGAGTATCATCACAAAAATAATTTCCCACAAAACTGTGTCTGAAACCACTTTATTAGATTAAATTATGTTAAGCTATAAAGAAACATGTTTTTTCTCACAGTCAGTGCACTGATGGGCAGAAATGTAAAAGCTGATGTTTCTACTTAAAGACATTTGACGAGGCTGAAGCAAAACCTCATTGACTTTATGTGCTATAAACTGGCTCGCTCATTCCAATTAGCACGAGATTAATCTATAACTCCTTGGAGAAGCATGGACCAGTATACTTTGTACACCCGAGGGCAAAATTGATTTTAAAAATCTGCATTTTACCTTTATGGCAGTTATTAATTTGATTTATATTGGAACTTTATTGGAGAAGTTTGCTGTTTTAATTTAAGTAAAGCCCATGGAGGAGATTAATCCATAAATTGTGTAGGGGTGGGTGTGTGCATGTGTGTATGTGTGTGGGGGGGTGGGGGGCTCAGTGAACTATTGAGCTGTTGCTATAAATTGTAAAAACCCCAAACATTTGCTCCCCACTGAGTTTCAGATTTAGATAAATAAAGTAGTCTCTAGCTGACTCTGTGTGGGAACCACTGAGCCTTAATGGAAAGAGCCGCCACTGCTGCACAGCTGTGAGATCTTGTTCAGACATTGATGGGAAATCTGTTAAGAAACCCAAACTTTCACCAACATGACCTTTAAACTTTGACCTAGAACACTAGGGGTATATTTTCTATGTTTGCAGAACACCGGCAGCTCAGGTTTGGTAACAGGTCCATTTGCAGCAGAGTATCCACAAACTAAAATACAGAGACGAGAAAATGGACGATGTACCGACACTTAATGGCTCCTTTGGAAATATTTACACCTTCTTTCCTGTTTCTGACACTGGAAAATATTTTTAATGGCTTGAAGTAGCATTTTCAATACATTTAGTTGTAATACAAATAACAAAAAACCGAACAACAATCACCAAATGATAAGATTTATTCCACTTTCTGTGTGATAGCGGGTGATACTGTGATCTTTACAGAGCCGTAAACTGGACACCAGTGAGTTAAGCGACCCAAGCATCTCTGCCGAGGTAGCACAGAAGATGGCCAAGTTTCATGGGATGAGGATGCCCTTCAACAAGGAGCCCAAGTGGCTCTTTGGGACCATGGAGAAGTGAGTCATTCCGTTTTATATGTCACTGTTAAACTAAAAGGGGTTTAAAGGGTTTGGTTAATCAGTAACCAAAGGTTTCTCCAAGATAACACGTGGCACTGCTGATAAGTGATGGACATGATAGATATCAGCTTATCAAGCAGCTTTTTCTTCCGAAGCGCTTTACCAATGTCACATATGTTGCATCATCTTGGTGTCCTATTGGTGAAATAAATGCTGCTGTTTCATTCCCCTATTTGTGACGAAGCTCATAATTCTCTCTTATCTCTGTTATCCTCTCATGTTGCACTCTGACCTTTCTTGTGACCCGGCTTTGTAAACTTCCACATCAAGGCTGTAAAATGTCGTCATCAGTTTTCCAGATGGATCCAGAGAAATGTTGCAACTGCAGCAAAAAAAAACTTAAAATAATCCAAGAAAATTACGCATGAGTGATCTTCTACCCTTGAATGCAGCAAAGTATTGCAGAATGAATCATCTTTGACCTCTTAATAATGCAAAATAGAAATCATAAACATACATTTGAGTGGAAAGGTTAAAATATATTTAATTCCTCTGTTTGGTGTCCTGGGAAAGCCAATTCTGAATGAGTTAAAGGTTTTTTTTAATAAAATGATGCCAGAAACTACCAGAATAACACATGGAACCTAGAAGGGACTGGGATTTGATTTATGGAGCATATTAGTAACAAAAAAAAGCATTAAAATATCTTTATTTCCAGCTTTTGTTGACTTTGATGCTTTGTATTAAAAATCAATCCATTATTTCACAAGCATTGTCCTACTGTCTGCTCTTTAATAATCAGTGACTGCTTTTTTTGGAAATATCTATCAAAAATAAAACTGAACTTTTACATTTATAAAAAAAATAAACCTATAAATAAGATTAAGGGCTCCGTAAAATTGATTCTTGGAAAGTATGGGATTTAGACATGATAGCTAAACAGTTTGCAATGCAGTCCTGATGTCCAAACTCATTACTCAAGTGAAAATCCTGAATAGAAAAGCATCATCAGCGAACGCTTGTTTTTCTTTATAGTTCAAAATATATTTATAGAACTTCAACTCTTGTCATTTTTTCTTTACTCTTCATATAAATTTAGTTTGTTCGGTCTGAAAGCTTTGGTGTTTTATAAACTAAATAATACGACCTTTATCATTACCAAGTTTAGATGTTTTATATTGTATTAATGAAATAATAGCATCTTCTTCACTGAAAACCCCAGGATTTATTTTACATTGGTTAACAGAGGAATGCCTTGTACTTCCACAGACTGTTTAATGATATCAGCCTGATGATGCTGATTTTGTTATCCTAAGAAATATAAAACATTTCTTTTTGTGCTGTAGATATCTGACATGAGTTTACTTGATGATCATAACAATAAAAAAATATAAGTCCGTTAATAAGTGTTTAGTAATAACTGTAAATGAATCATGCAGATCTGCCTTAACTTCCCTGGAGTAACGGTTCATGTCCTCCTTCAACAGGTACCTTAGCCAAGTCATGAAACTGAACTTTACCAGAGAGTCCCATCTCCGCCGCTTCAACCGCTTGCTGGCCTACAACCTGCCACAGGAGATGGAAATGCTAAAGTAAGCTACCAGGATCACAGACTTCCTGTGTGTGAAGCCTGGCTTTAAAATGAGGAGTTATCAAAGCACATGTGGAGAACACTTAGAGCCACCAATGATGATGCATAAAACATTTAAAGAGCCCATGAGAGTATAAATCAGACACAATTCTGTGTGAAGTAACACTTTCTTATGATAAGTGCATTTGCACTTAATTTGAGCAGGTAGCTAAGATGACCTGCCATTGGAATAAGTGCTTTTGTCTAGAAATTATACCCTTGAAATAAGATAATAGAGTTTCTTTATTGTTTTAAATCATATTTGATTAGCAAATGATCTCAATGATCTGCTCAAATCAGAGGAAAATACGGTTATTTCAGCATAAAAACGTACTTAAATGTAAATGTTTGCAGTAATGAGTAACATTTTATAGTGAGATACCAAATAGTTTTCAACAGCAGATTATTCACATCTAGATAATCAGATGTGACTATTTTAAGCATAAATTCAATGATTTCATAGACGGGTGATGATGCACTAAATTAACGTGTAAGAATGACCAAACTCTTCTGTTTTTTGTGTGTGATCAGGTTGCTACTGGAGTCCACCCACTCCCCTGTCGTGTTCTGCCACAATGACTGCCAAGAAGGTAAAACACATTCTTTGCCTTTACGCTGTATCTGTTTGCCTCGGTCAGTTTGAGAGAAAATAACAATCCTTGGGTTGCTTTCAGGGAACATTCTGCTGCTGAAGGGCCGCCACAGCTCAGACAAACAGAAGCTGATGCTCATCGACTTTGAATACAGCAGTTACAACTACAGGTACTACAGCAGCAGCCGCAAGCGATGCTTTTATATATGCAGGAAGACTGGTTTAACATCAAACTATGTTTCAGAGACTAGTTGTTTTCATGCTTTATGAGCTAAGGTTTGATTTAAGTTTGTTACAAAAGTATAAATAAAAGTCAAATTGTTGGTTTACTTTTCATTTGTTTGTACAGAATCCACATAAGATGGAGAAAATATGGAATTCATTGAGTTTAACAGGCTGTACAGTAACATATATAAAAACAATGGCCCCTCATTGTTTTAACGGGTATCTTAACGGTATCTTGTTCTGCTTGCATGCAGAGTGCTTTACTGGTGATTATCAATGACAGATGGTTTGTCTGACAGTTTGGTTTCTTACCTTTAAAGTTTTGGTCACATTTCCAATAGAAAAAAACCCAGCAGGGTCTTCCTTATGTTGTCATATGTGACAATTCTTGTTTTGCTTTGGTGTGGAGTGCTTTTGCTATTTTTAACTGAATTATTTGTGTTGATGTGATCTCCCTTACCGTTGTAGTTGAGGGAAAATAGGTTGACTTACAACCTTAAGTTATGGAGAATATTGAAAAAGGCAAATATGAAAGAATTGCATACAAAAAACACAAAGAGGTTGATATAATTAAATAATATTTATAATATTATACATAATATTTTTTCTGAACCAGTACTTTCAGAATAGGAAAACATACTTAACAATGGGACTGCAACTAAGGCTACGTTCACACTGCAGGCCTTAATGCTCAATTCCAATTTTTTTGTGAAATCCGATTTTTTCCAATGCGACCCAAGCCGCTATATGGTCCT